CCACAGAACTGTTACTTAGGGCCACAGAAAAGTTACTTAGGGCCACAGAAACGTTACTTAGGGCCACAGAATCGTTACTTAGGGCCACAGAAAACGTTACTTAGGGCCACAGAAACGTTACTTAGGGCCACAGAATTGTTACTTAGGGACACAGACACAGAATTGTTACTGAGGGACACAGATTTGTTACTGAGGGCCACAGAACCGTTACTTAGGGCCACAGAAACGTTACTTAGGGACACAGAATTTTTACTCAGGGACAGACACAGAATTGTTACTGAGGGACACAGAATTGTTACTGAGGGCCACAGTAACGTTACTTAGGGCCACAGCATTGTTACTTAGGGCCACAGTAACATTACTTAGGGCCACAGAAACGTTACTTAGGGCCACAGAAACGTTACTTAGGGCCACAGAATTGTTACTTAGGGCCACAGAATCGTTACTTAGGGCCACAGAAACGTTACTTAGGGCCACAGAAACGTTACTTAGGGCCACAGAATTGTTACTTAGGGACACAGAATTGTTACTGAGGGACACAGATTTGTTACTGAGGGCCACAGAACCGTTACTTAGGGCCACAGATACGTTACTTAGGGACACAGAATTGTTACTGAGGGACAGACACAGAATTGTTACTGAGGGACACAGAATTGTTACTCAGGGACACAGAATTGTTACTCAGGGACACAGAATTGTTACTGAGGGACACAGAATTGTTACTGAGGGACACAGAATTGTTACTCAGGGACAGACACAGAATTGTTACTCAGGGACAGACACAGAATTGTTACTGAGGGACACAGAATTGTTACTGAGGGACACAGAATTGTTACTCAGCGACAGACACAGAATTGTTACTCAGGGACAGACACAGAATTGTTACTGAGGGACACAAAATTGTTACTGAGGGACACAGAATTGTTACTGAGGGACACAGAATTGTTACTGAGGGACACAGAATTGTTACTCAGGGACAGACACAGAATTGTTACTCAGGGACAGACACAGAATTGTTACTGAGGGACACAGAATTGTTACTGAGGGACACAGAATTGTTACTGAGGGACACAGAATTGTTACTCAGCGACAGACACAGAATTGTTACTCAGGGACAGACACAGAATTGTTACTGAGGGACACAGAATTGTTACTGAGGGACACAGAATTGTTACTGAGGGACACAGAATTGTTACTCAGGGACACAGAATTGTTAAACTCAGCGACAGACACAGAATTGTTACTCAGGGACAGACACAGAATTGTTACTGAGGGACACAGAATTGTTACTGAGGGACACAGAATTGTTACTCAGGGACACAGAATTGTTACTCAGGGACACAGAATTGTTACTGAGGGACACAGAATTGTTACTGAGGGACACAGAATTGTGTACTGAGGGACAGACACAGAATTGTTACTGAGGGACAGACACAGAATTGTTACTCAGGGACACAGAATCGTTTAATTAAAGAGTATGTCAGACAACATGCATAGGAGTGGCAGAGGAGGCAATGTTTTAGGAGCGAGCAGACGTGGCAGCAGAGGAAGGGGTCGAGGCAGCACTAGTCGCAGCCAGAGGCCAGTGCTCCCGGTGTCATCCAGCGGTCGTGTCTCCACCGACAACCCTGCCATCATCGATTGGTTGGCTCGGTCGTCTTCCTCTTCCCAGGTCACCTCTGACAACTACCAAGCCAACGGTCGGTGGGTACGTGAGACACACCGTTAGTTGGCATGGCCCGGAAGCAAGCCCACTGAAATCACGTGTCCTCGACCTGCCCCTGTCCTTTGGTGTTCCCTCACCAAGCGAAGTATCGCATGCTGTGGGCTCAGCCCCCACTGTATAGTGAGGAAGAGCTAACAGAGGGCGCGGTCAGGAACGGGGGGAGACATCCGCCTCTTCAGCAGCCAGGCGAAAAGAAGTAGTGGCGAGGAGAGTGGCTCGGTAGCCGGTCTAGAGACAGGTCTGTCTCCTGACCCACACGCAGCCGAGGGGGCTAGTAGTAGTGAGGCGGAGACCCTAATTGATGATGATGAGGCTGATCGCACTTGGCAGCCTCGTCATCATCAGGCTATTGCTTCCGCATCATCAGGAGAAGAGGAGGGTGGCAGCTTGGCAGCGAGCAAAACAGTCGGTGGGTTGCCCAGGAGGCAGCAGGGTCGCAGCAGTGTCAGTGGAGGCAAACGGCCATGGAGTACAGCACCAGCTCCACTGCAGCCTACCACCACGGCCAGTAGTAGTGCCGGTGTGCACGGAGGAAGCAGCAGTCAGCCAGTGAGGAGTATCGGGGGCAAAGTTTCCTACTCGGCGGTGTGGCAATTTTTTGTCAAGCCGCCCGAGGAAGTAAACGTAGCCGTATGTCGACTATGTGGCCAGAAAGTCAAGCGTGGCCAGGGGGCCCATGTTGGGACTACAGCGTTGCGGCAGCATATGCAGCGTCGCCATTTGGTGGCCTGGGAAAACTGTGATAAAGATACGGCGGTTCTGCCTGCCCCAGCAACCCGCTCCATCACCCGCTCCGTTACTTGCTCCATCACCCGACGTCAACCGCCCCATCTATCAGCCAGTCAAGGCTCCAACACCTCTGCTGAGGGGAGTTGTCGCTCGTTGGCATCTTCCGCTCGTTTCTGATGCTCCTTCTCCTGCTACTCCTCTTCACGGATTCCCTCAGCAGTCTTTCTTGGAATATCCGTTTTCCAAGAGACAACAGTTTGCGAGCACGCACCCGACGGTGCAAAAGCTGAACGTCCTCCTGTCCAAGTTGCTGGTGCTGCAGTCCTCCCTTTCCAAGTGGTGAACTCAGCACCTTTCCGAGAAATGATGGCTTGTGCCGCGCCGCGGTGGAGAGTGCCAAGCCGTCATTTCTTCGCCAAAAAGGCAGTGCCAGCCCTGCATTCACATGTAGAAGAGATGGTGGGCCAGTCTTTGAGCATGTCGGTCTCTGCCAAAGTGCACGGCAGCGCCCGACGTGTGGAGCTGTAACTACGGTCAGGGACAGTACATGTCATTTACGGCCCACTGGGTGAACGTGGTGCCGTCACAGCCGCACCAGCAACTTGGACAGGTCACGCCGCTTTTGCCTCCACGTTTGCACGTCCTTGGTCCGGCAAAGATGTCCGCCTCTACCACCTCTTCTTCCGCCGTGTCCTCAGCCGCCCCCGTGCCAAGTCCCATTACCCGACCGGCATATCACATGTGCAGGGCGCAACGGTGTCACGCTGTGCTGCACCTGGTATGCCTTGGCGAATGTAGTCACACAGGGGAGGAACTTCTCAGTGTAATGAACAGAGAAATCGACAGATGGCTGTCTAGTCTCCGCGCAAACTGAAAATTTGGAACCATGTTGACCGACAACGGAAAAGAACATGGTGTCTGCTCTGCGTCAAAGAAGGTGTGCCATGCGCCATGCATGGCTCACGTGTTCAATCTGGTTGTCAAGCGGTTCCTAAAATCCACCATCCCACTGCAAGACATCCTTAAAATGTCACGTAAACTTTGCATGCATTTCAGCCATTCCTACACCGCAAAGCACACCCTCCTTGAGCTGCAGCGGCAGAACGGAATTCCACAGCATCGCCTGATCTGCGACGTTGCAACAAGGTGGAATTCAAAATCCCTACACATGTTAGACCGCCTTTACGAACAGCGAAAGGCCATCACAGATTTCCTGATGTTACAAGCGGATAAAGGTACTCCCCTGTGTAACTTCGATGTCAGCCATTGGCAGCTCATGCGTGACACCTGCCGCTTGCTCAGGCCCTTTGAGGAGGCCACGCTATTCGTGAGTCGGCAGGACTATGGGATGAACGACGTCATTCCTCTGTTGCACGTCCTGGAACAAATGCTGTTAACAATGGCTGGTCAGGGTGCGGTAGACGTGGCGCACAGATCTCAACGCCACATGACCCCTGTGGGGGCAGGACAGGAAGAGGAGGAGGTAGAGGAGGACATTTGTGCTCAGGAATTATTGAGTGAAATGGGGGTGGTTTTTTTCCACTCAGCGGACAGGAGTGGAGGAGCAGGAGCATCTGGTAGAGGAGGAGGAGGAGGAGACAGAGGACCCAGACGCACCGTGGCAGTATGCTGTGGAGATGGAGGCAGGGAGTCCCACGCATTCCTTGGCACAAATGGCCCATAGCATGCTCGGTTGCTTGCGTAGCGACAGCCGAATAATAACCATCAGAAAGAGGGATGACTTTTTGGCTGTCCACCTTGTTGGACCCTCGCTACCGTTCAAAAATGGTGGCCTTTTTCACACCTGCTGAGAGGGAGGCCAAATATAACGTACTATAAAAACCACCTATGTAGTCAGTTGGTCTCTGCCTTTTGTGCGCCAACGTCCATCCTCAGACACTGTGGGCCCTGTGCGCTCGCGTTCCGCTGCCATGGCAGCAGGGGAGGGTGGGGTGGTAGGAGCAGTGGCAGCTCCACCAGCAGCGGCTGCCTCAGTCTGCAGTCGATGATGAGTAGTATGCTTTCTTCACCAGCGCAGTGAGGAAACTACTAACCAGCCGCAGCAGCAGCAGCAGCATCAGGTGGACCTGGAGCAGGACCTCAAACAACAGGCTTGGGCCTACTTGGACAGCACCCTGCCAACCGAGGTTAGACAATCCCCTTGACTACTGGGCAACGAAACTTGACCTTTGGCCCCAACTAGCTGAATTTGCCCCTTGAAAGGCTGTCATGCCCGCCCAGTAGCGTGGCATCGGAGCGCGTTGTTTAGTGCACGGGCAGGAGGTATTGTAACTCCGCGGAGGACACGACTGTCCACCCAAAGTGTGGAGAGACTCAAGTTTGTGAAAATGAATCAGGCGTGGATTAGTCTGGATTTCAAAACCACCAGTTCCTGACACAACTGACTAAATCCGCCATGAATCATGCCCCAAACATGTGCCACTTTCAGGTCTCCTCACACTGCTGGTAAGTGTTCCATTTTTTGTCATAGGGTGCTGGCAGATTACCAGGCCTCCCATAGCTGCTGCCAGGCCCCTAATCTGCCATGGGCCCCTATACTGCCTCCTCATGCTGCTGCCAGGTCCACAGTGTCTCATGCCATGTGCCACTTTCAGGTCTCCTCACACTGCTGGTGTGTTCCATTTTTTGTCATAGGGTGCTGGCAGATTACGGGCCTCCATAGCTGCTGCCAGGCCCCTAATCTGCCATGAGCCCCCTATACCGCCTCCTCATTATGCTGCTGCCCAGGTGCAGAGAGTCTCTCATGGGTCCCTGTACGGCCTCCCATTGCTGCTGTCTCCATCGCCACACTCTGCCATGTGCCACTTTCAGGTCTCCTCACACTGCTGGTGTGTTCCCATTTTTTGTCATAGGGTGCTGGCAGATTTACGGGCCTCCCATAGCTGCTGCCAGGCCCCTAATCTGCCATGGGCCCCTATACCGCCTCCTCATGCTGCTGCCAGGTCCAGGAGTCTCTCATGGGTCCCTGTACGGCCTCCCATTGCTGCTGTCTCCATCGCCACACTCTCTGCCATGTGCCACTTTCAGGTCTCCTCCACACTGCTGGTGTGTTCCATTTTTTGTCATAGGGTGCTGGCAGATTACGGGCCTCCCATAGCTGCTGCCAGGCCCCTAATCTGCCATGGGCCCCTATACCGCCTCCTCATGCTGCTGCCAGGTCCAGAGTCTCTCATGGGTCCCTGTACGGCCTCCCATTGCTGCTGTCTCCATCGCCACACTCTGCCATGTGCCACTTTCAGGTCTCCTCACACTGCTGCTGGTGTGTTCCATTTTTTGTCATAGGTGCTGCAGATTACGGGCCTCCCATAGCTGCTGCCAGGCCCCTAATCTGCCATGGGCCCCTGTACCGCCTCCTCATGCTGCTGCCAGGTCCACAGTGTCTCATGCCATGTGCCACTTTCAGGTCTCCTCACACTGCTGGTGTGTTCATTTTTGTTATAGGGTGCTGGCAGAGTATGGGCCTCCCATAGCTGCTGCCAGGCCCCTAATCTGCCATGGGCCCCTATACCGCCTCCTCATGCTGCTGCCAGGTGCAGAGTCTCTCATGGGTCCCTGTACGGCCTAGCCATTGCTGCTGTCTCCATCGCCACACTCTGCCATGTGCCACTTTCAGGTCTCCTCACACTGCTGGTGTGGTTCCATTTTTTGTCATAGGGTGCTGGCAGATTACGGGCCTCCCATAGCTGCTGCCAGGTCCCTAATCTGCCATGGGCCCCTGTACCGCCTCCTCATGCTGCTGCCAGGTCCACAGTGTCTCATTGCCTTGTGCCCTCTTACAGGTCTCCTCACACTGCTGGTGTGTTCCATTTTTTGTCATAGGGTGCTGGCAGATTACGGGCCTCCCATTGCTGCTGCCAGGCCCGTAATCTGCCATGGGCCCCTGTACCGCCTCACTCATCATGCTGGCTGCCAGGTCCACAGTGTCTCATGGGTCCCTGTACGGCCTCCCATTGCTGCTGTCCTCCATCGCGACACTCTGCCATGTGCCACTTTCAGGTCTCCTCACACACCGCTGGTGTGTTTCCATTTTTTGTCATAGGTGCTGGCAGATTACGGGGCCTCCATAGCTGCTGCCAGGCCCCTAATCTGCCATGGGCCCCTGTTACCGCATCCTCATGCTGCTGCCAGGTCCACTCGTGTCTCATGCCATGTGCCACTTTCAGGTCTCCTCACACTGCTGGTGGTGTTCCCATTTTTGTCATAGGGTGCTGGCAGATTACGGGCCTCCCATTGCTGCTGCCAGGCCCCTAATCTGCCGATGGGCCCCTGTACCGCTTCTTTCATGCTGCTGCCAGGTCCAGAGTGTGTCATGGGTCCCTGTACGGCCCTCCCATTGCTGCTGCCAGGCCCCTAATCTCTGCACATGGGCCCCTTCTTGTACCGCCTCCCTCATGCTGCTGCCAGGTCCACTGTTGTCTCATGCCATGCCGTGTGCCACTTTCAGGTCTCCTCACACTGCTGGTGTGTTTACCATTTTTTGTCATAGGGTGCTGGGCAGATTACGGGCCTCCCATTGCTGCCTGCCAGGCCCCTAATTCGTGCCATGGGGCCCTCTGTACAGCTTCTTCAATGATGCTGCTGCCAGGTCCCAGAGTGTGTCATGGGTCCCCCTGTACGGCCCTCCCATTGCATGCTGCCAGGAGGCAGCCAGGGTCGCAGCAGTGTCAGTGGAGGCAAACGGCCACGGTGTAGAGTAGAGCACCAGCTCCACTGCAGCCTACCACCACGGCCAGTAGTGGTGCCGGTGTGCACGGAGGAAGTAGCAGGTCAGCCAGTGAGGAGTAGCGGGGGCAAAGTTTCTACTCGGCGGTGTGGCAATTTTTCGTCAAGCCGCTACCGAGGAAGTAAACGTAGCCGTAGTGTCGACTATGTGGCCTAGAAAGTCAAGCGTGGCCAGGGGGCCCATGTTGGGGACTACAGCGTTGCGTCAGCATAGTGCAGCGTCGCCATTCGGTGGCCTGGGAAAAAAACCGTGATAAAGATACGGCGGCGTTCTGCCTGCCCCAGCCAGGGTTCCATTTTGTCATAGGGTGCTGGCAGATTACGGGCCTCCCATGGCTGCTGCCAGGCCTTAATCTGCATGGGCACCTGTACCCCACCCCCCCCTACCGCCTCCTCATGCTGCTGCCAGGTCCACAGTGTCTATGGGTCCTGAAAACCGCCTCCCATTTGCTGCTGTCTCATCGCCACACTCTGCCATGTGCCACTTTCAGGTCTCCTCACACTGCTGGTGTGATTACATTTTTTGTCATTAGGGTTGCTGGCAGATTACGGGCCTCCCATTGCTTCTGCCAGGCCCGTAATCTGCCATGGCCCCAGTACCGCCTCCTCATGCTGCTGCCAGGTCCACAGTCTCTCATGGGTCCCCTGTACGGCCTCCCCATTGCTGCTGTCTCCATCGCCACACTCTGCCATGTGCCACTTTCAGGGTCTTCCTCACACTGCTGAGTGGGTTCCATTTTTTGTCATAGGGTGCTGGCAGATTACGGGAACTCCCATAGCTGCTGCCAGGCCCCTAATCTGCCATGGGCCCCTGTACACGCCTCCTCATGCTGCTGCCAGGTCCAGAGTCTCTCATGGGTCCCTGTACGCCTCCCATTGCTTGCTGTCTCGCATCGCCACCGACTCTGCCATGTGCCACTTTCAGGTCTCCTCACACACTGCTGGTGTGTTCCATTTTTTGTCATAGGGTGCTGGCAGATTTTTTTTTACGGGCCTCCCATTGCTGCTGCCAGGGCCCCGTAATCTGCCATGGGCCCACCGTACACCGACTCCTACGATGCTGCTTCCAGGCCCCGTAATCTGTCATGGGCCCCTGTGGTCGCTTGAACAGTTGGCAAGTCGCTCGTCTCAGAGTGTCCTCGCTCGGCTAAGGCCTGCTACTCCTCTTCCAGTATTCCGTCAGCAGTCTTTTTGGAATCCCGTGTTCCATGAGACAACAGTTTGCGAGCAATTGCTCCCGACGGTCTATCTATCGTTTTGCAGAAGCATCTGAACGTCCTACTCCATGTCAAGATGTTGCTGCTGCCAGGCTCGTTATCTGTCATGCGCCACCTGTACCGCCTCCTCTCTATGCTGCTGCCCAGGTCAACGAGAGTGTGTCATGGGCCCCCCGTACACAGACTCCTCATGCTGCTGCCAGGCCCGTAATCTGTCATGGGGCCGTACCATGTACCGCCTCCTCATTGGCTGCTGCCAGGTCCAGAGTGTGTCAAATGGGTCCCTGTACGGACCTTCCCATTGCTGCTGCTCCCATCGGCCCGTAATCCTGCCATGGGCCCCCAACCGTTACAACTCCTCATGCTGCTGCACCAAGGCCCCGTAATCTTGTCATGGGCCCCTGTACCGAGCATTACCTCATGCTGCTGCCCAGGTCCAGAGTGTGTTCATTGGGTCCCTGTACGGCCTCCCATTGCTGACTGACTGTCTCCTTCGCGACACTTATGCCTCTGCCATGTGCCACTTTCAGGTCTCCTCACACTGCTGGTCGGTTTCTGATTTTTGTCATAGGGTGCTGTATGGCCTCCCATTGCTGCTGCCCTCTCACCGCCACACTGTGGACATCCACACTCTGGTTTTGGCCCCGTGACTGCCCAACAATGACAACCAGTGAAGTGTGCGGTATAGATTCTAAGAGATCGACGGCGACCTCCATCTGCATGTCATACTGACTGTCAGTATTAGAATGTCTCTTTCCCAGCAGACTCCAGGGCATTATTCTAATTAAAGGTACTGTGTTCTGCACTAATTATATAAGGCTACTCTGAACTATCCTACGAAAACACCGTGATACATTCCGTTTATAAGTTAAATTCGCAGCGGAACGATATTCGACTCGAATCAAACATTTTTTCACACGAATTTCGACTCTCCCCGAATAATCAGTCGAAATCGAATTATTTCTACAACTCTGAATAATTGAAAGCGAATCGAAAACTCATCTCTCCTAGTTTTAACGAAACAATCACATAGTTACAGCAAGGCAAAGTTTCGGAGTCGTGCACGACCCCTTCATCAGGCATGTGACCCATCTGGGCGTCCTGCGAGACTCCAAAATGTTGCCTTGCTGTAACTATTGTGATCGTTCATTAAATCTTTTGGACCGTACACTTTGTCATGATATATTTAGAGCCTCATTTGTTGTGCTCCACTATAAATCGTTAAACATTCATGGGGTACTTCTAGGACCTTTTGCTCATACACAATGGAATGATTAAAGTGAACACAGCTTCATTTCACTCACTAAGTGAACATTTTTGGGGAATGCAATCAGAATCTGGTGCAGCTGTGCATGGTGGCCAATCAACATTCTAACTTCAGCTTGCTTGTTCAATTAGGCTTTGACAAAAAAAAAATGGAAGCTGCCTGGGTTCTTGGAATACCTGCACCATATTTTGTACTTGAGTGTGGGCTCCAGTTTTTGTAAATAACCCTCCTTACTTTACAAAGTGAACATGTCGCATTCCTTTAGTACATTAACACTAGTGCCAGAAATTCTAACTTTACCTGCTCTATTAAAAATGTGTTTTTGTCATTGTTGTCCCTATTGGAGAGATTTCCAATCATTTTCTGTCCTTACCTGACTGGACAAAATAATTCTTAATTTTTTATTATACAAATAATGTATATTATTAATTAACTATTAATGCAGAATGAAATCCTCATGGAAAAGAAAAAGAAGAAAAGAAGGCGCCTAAAACTGAAATTCCCCAGAAGCACAGTGCAGAAGCAGAATGATCTGGAGGAGAAAAGAAAAATAATCACATTGAAAGAGGGAAAGACAGAAGTACTTTGTGGACCTGGCATGTGAGTGCAGCTCTGTCATCTGCTGCAGAGTGACCCCCAAACAGAAGGCCATGGTGGTAGACTTGGTGAAGAAGTACAAGAAGGCCACCCACCTTATCCATCGGAGATGGCGCCAATGATGTCAGCATGATAAAGAGTAAGAAAAAACTGTCTGAAGGAATCCTGCCATTAAAGTGACTGATGGAGAAGAATAAGAAACAGAGAGTGCCAATCAAAAATGTGTATGTGCAGATTATATCATCACTTTCTGTCCAGATATCTACCCCATTGCATTTCAAAGCCCTGCTGAAGAAGGCCACTTGAAGATCTGAAATGTGCTGGCCCTTTATATTAAACGCAAAGAAAAATTAAATAAATCTGGGCATACACTTTTAAAATTGGTGCTTTCTTCCTCATTCTTTTCTATGTTTTAATAAGAACCTAGTCAAGGCTTTTGTACAACTGCCCATGGAACTATTGCAATGGCAGTAAAACCAAGAGCTATAAACCTTACTCACTCTATCCAAAAAAAAAAAAAAAATTTTGAGCTATAGACACTTTAAAGTGACCCATGCCATTTCTTTCACTATTCCATCCAACATTACCTGTGCATACAGGCTGTTGTAACCTCTGTATTGCTACCTTTCTTGGGCCATAGCTGTCTAGCAATCTCTTGATAGCACCTGTTAAAACTCGACTTTACCTTCAGAAGTCTGATGTTCATCATTCTGTCTGAATAGATTGACATCATCCCCTTATTTCATACCTAATTTCCTAATAGGCTCTAATTTTTTTTCTGTTGGTGATGTCAGCCAATACATATAGATGACACATATTCACTTATGGGTACACAGAAAGCAATAAAATCAAAATGGCTGTTACTTGGAGCGTTGGATGAGGAACAATATACCCCACCCATCTATCTATATGGCGCTCATCCGACTTCTGAATCTGACACAGAAACTTATTGCATGTTTTTGGCTTTTGCCCAAACCTCCTAACTGTAGGAAATGGATAGAACAAGTGAATCCATTCTTATTTGTGAGAAAAACACTTATCGACATAGAAATTATCCCAGGAAATTCATGCAAATTTTGGCAATTCTGGCTGGATACCCCTGGTTTAGCTCCCCCACACCTTATCCTAAATTGTTTACTGCATTGTTAATGTCCTCACTGCTCTGGTGTTGTATTGCATGGTTGGTTGGCTTGGGTGCACAGTGTGCTCTTCACAGTTATGGCCTGCCCAAGCAGCATTGTAATACCAAGGAATTTTCCTATTCTTCCTGTTTTGCTGTATTTGACTTGCTCATGCTTTTCCTTAGTCACTTCAGGTATGTTTTGTTCTTTCTGCTGTTTATTGTATCTTGTTACCACATTGATAAGTCACCTGCATTGTTCTGGGCATTGGATGTAATGTCACTTAATCTTTATTGTACTCTCTATGGTGCTCACACCATGTTTGATATAACTTCACAATTTTTCATTTCTAACAAACAAGTGTTTCTGATTAAAAAAAAAAATGAAAATGGGGGTATAACCCTTCCTCTCTCCATCATGTGTCTCAGCTGCTCATATAGGTGTTGGTATCAGTGGACAGGAGGTATGCAAGCTGTGATGTCTAGCGACTACTCCTTCGCACAGTTTCGATACCTACAGAGGCTGCTTCTGGTCCACGGTCGCTGGTCCTACATCCGTATGTGCAAGTTCCTCAGCTATTTCTTCTACAAGAACTTTGCTTATACACTGGTGCACTTCTGTTATGCCTTCTTCTGTGGATTTTCTGGGCAGGTACTGTGGATCATTGATAACTTTCATAGTATATTATGTAAAATTGGGATATTGTCATTAATAAGAAAACAAATAACATACAATGAATGCTCAAGTAGAGGAGCAATATAATGGTCAGAATGCTACCCCTACAAAAAGATAAAAAAGGCCATTGGTGCCATGCTGTTGGCTCTGTCAAATAGTGTTGGACCCAGAACTATGTAGGCACCATCAGGTGGGAGGTCAGTCAGTCATAACTCAAGGAACCCCTAGCAAACCTCTAGTGGAACCTTAGGGTTCCAGGGAGCTCTCTCTTTCTTTTTTTCTCTCATCCCTCTCTTTCCCATTACTCCCTCCCACCCTCACTCTTCCACTTTGTTTTCTCTTACCTTGATGTTATTGGACCTGAGGTTAATTTACATTATGTATAACTCATCTTAGGAGCTGCCCTTTGGTTTCTGGTAATATTTAAAAAAAAATGTTACCACAGTGTGCTCCACATTCCCAATTCCTTGTGTAATTACTGTAGTCATTTATTGACCTTTTTTGTGTTTTTATGCAAAAAGTTTAGTTCTCTGTCTTCTACTTCTAGGCTGTGTATGATACCACGTTCATGGCTCTCTACAACCTGCTATATGCCAGTCTTCCAGTCCTTGTTGTTGGCCTACAGGATCAGGTATGATATACAGCCCACTCAGTTTACCAAGCACCCTTGCAAACTACCTATCTTTATTATGGACAGTCTCACCACAATAGAAAATGTATGCACCATAATGCAAAAGCCACCTAAAAAGCTGCTACAGATAAATGTCTGTGTTCAGCTGACCAAAGACATGAGATGATCATCACCCAATTGACAGCTGTTACAACTGCCTCATATCAATGGCAGCAATGGATACAGCCTGCTGACTGCTTCTGGGGGAAAATGTTGGACAGTTTGGAAAGGCTTGTCCATTCAATCCTGTTCCTCCTAGGACTGTCCCTAGGGCTATTTGTATGTCCTGAGCATGCATGTTTGTATCAAAACCAGGCATGCCCTTCCATACATGTCTTCCATACAAGTTTTTATTGGCATGTCTTGTGCCAATAAAAACACACCCCAATTAATTTGGGAAGACCAGTGTCGTTAAAACACACTTGTGTTTTGTCCACTCAGGGCATCCTCACCACAGTTTATGTTACTTCAGAGGTCTGCAGTAAAGTGAAATTGTTGTTTTGCAAAGCAGCAAAGTGATTCGCCCGACCTGCTGTGGGGCTTTTTAGGAGTATGCCACTTTTGTTAAAAATAAATAAATAAATAAAAAAAAGAAAGGGAAGGAAAGTAAAAAAAATGCCACACAAGCTACTTTGTAATTGAATGTTAAAATGTGGGTCACTGATTATTTTTCAGACATCTGTTCTAAGATACAAGTAAACTCTTAGACACTCCCTGTAATAGTAATTTCATTTTTTACTTCTAAAGTGAAGTGGACACTTGCTTTTCTCATTCAAACACATAGTTATAATGGACACAGTCTCTCCCACTCAGGAATCAGTTCTGAAAGAACATGGAGAAATAAACAGCTTTTTCTTCAGAACAGAATATGGTAGAAATCTGCATCCTTTGTTAAAATCATTGCAATGCCCATTGATCACCTAAAGGGACTGTTTCTTTTTCTCAACAAAAAATGTTGTTACACATTAGGTACTGTAAAGTCCTGCATGCTAATACTTGACTGATGATAAAATAGAAATCCAAAAAAAGTAATTGTGGCATGCAAAATGTGTCTGGAGAAGGTAGACTCCCCATATTAATGGAAGTTGTAGCTACTCCTACCATTCAGAGTCATGTTAGCAATACTTGAACTTGCTACAAATATGCTATGCGTAGACAATTATTATTATTTTTCAAGATTTATATAGTGCCAACAGGTTGGGTAGAATTTTACAATGTAAGAGAGACAGTACAGTTACAATACAGTTTGATACAGAAAGATTAGGAGGGCCCAGCTCATGGAGCTTAAAATCTAAAAGGAAGTGGTACAAAAGTTAACAGACATGAGGGTGGCAGATGGAGAAGATCAAAGCACAGTTTTTAGGGGGGAGTTGGAGACTTCACTAAATAGATACTGTAAGATTTCAAGGATCCCATAAAGCAGCGTTTCTCAACCTGTGGGTCGTGACCCCTTTGGGGTCGAACGACCCTTTCACAGGGGTCGC